TCGACTATTAAATCAGTCGTCGACGATTTTGATAGTCGACGTAATCGTGACTAGTCGACTAATCGTGGCAGCCCTAATACATACATAAGGCTTTTAAACAGTTCATGTAAGAGCAGAACTGTTTTATTGACAAAGTTAAAGACAAAAAGTCAAAAGGATTAATCATCCATGTAACTGTGTCACTGTATGTCAGCAGAAACATTAACTCAGTTTGGTGTTTCAGTAAGCTGCTGATCTCAGACCTGCACAGATTCTGCTTTTAACACTGAGTGTACTCAGCTGCATGAAGAGCACGAGATTTTCTCTGACAGCATTAAATAAAACCAGATGGAAGGTCAAACGTCTTCACTTGTATGTTGACCTAAAAGTTTAATCTGGAATTCTTTCACCTGTGAAGAGCACAGGACCTACTGGAGGATGTCAGACCCTCAGGCCACACTCATGAGGTCGTTTTCTGATTGTTTGGTAGGAGAGACGGGAGGACCGTTCCTGTTTTGGGGCTCGTCTCATTGTTGCTCCTTTAGTGCAACAGTTGTTAATTTAACACCAAAGCAGATGAAACTGATTAACACCTCTCCTACTTAACTGACCAGGTCAATATACCATAAGTTTAACTAACCTGATGAACACTTTTTACTTTAATTTATTATTATATGAAAATTGATGGCAAAAAAAAAAAAAAAAAAAAGCTAAATACCGTTCAACAAATCATGCCCAGCATCTTACATGTCATCATTACAAGGCTTTGCATGGACGACTGAATGATTTGGAATGAATACTTTGGGTAATATCTGATTCAGAATCACATTTATTGGCCAAGTATATCTCACCTCATGTTGTGCATTTTCATCATTTTCCATATCAGCCTACCTCTCTGACCGGTCTCCCCAATGTTTGTGTAAAGTATGTTTGGTTTGAGGGTTCCTTTGTGAGTGTGCATGCGCCAACCAGCATGCTGCCTACTGTAACCCATAATTTCCTTCGGGATTAATAAAGTGGCTACGTTCACCTTTAGTGTTAAACAAGCAGAAGTCCAGTCTTCTCCCAGGTTCCCTCGAGAACGCTCTTCACAGCCACCTCACACAGGACACAATGTAGACATGTGTTACACGTTTTAAACAGCGATTTTGGAATCAACTTGTTTTTATGCTCCCATTTCTTCTGCTCAAGAGATTATTTTAGTATGGAGATAATTTCGGTTGGGGACTGAAATGACTGGGCCAGAGCAGAAACCTTTAAAAACTTTATTAGAAACAGAGAGCACTCATTGTGCACACAGTTCCAGCATGGCTTCTGTTCTTGGGAGGAAATGTGTTTTCGCCCCTCCCCCCCATCATTTACAGTCACTGCTCTCTTTAAAAGCCACTGGAAAACAGTTAAAAAACAAAAGAAAAAAAAGCTTCATAATATAACAGTACAAACAGTCTTCTCTTAAAAATATTAGAAATTATTCTTTACAGGCATGTAAAATGTAGTTCTGAAATACAGGGTGCGACTTTATTTTTCTTTACTCAGAGCTTTTTATGTACACGTGCACACGCACACACACAC